CAAGTACTTTACAGATTAATTTGTTGGCATAACTGATGTCCAGATCAATTTGGTGGTTGTTTTTAGTTGTGAATGATATGTAATGGGTTTTATCAAAATTTAATGAGAGTAAATTGGCTTCGAACCATCTGTTTAAGGCTTCAAATACAATATTTATGTCATTTTTAAAGTTGTCAAAGTTAGAGTTCTTAAATATTATACTAGTGTCATCTGCATATAGAATTTGTTTAGATTTATTGTTGATGGTTTTAGATAGATCATTTATGTAGAGAAGAAAAAGTAAGGGACCTAAAATTGATCCTTGTGGAACACCGTGCTTTATAATATTAAATACTGTTAATAAATATATGGCCAACATATGGCCAGATCGACCTATGACCTGTCAGTCAGAATGAAAGTCGGTCGTAAGTCGACGACCAAGTATACATGAAATACGAAGTGGAAATTGTAGTCATCTTTTCCATAAAATCAGTTTCTTATAAAATTTCATTGAGCAGTCTGAATTATACACCATCACATGTATGCAGGTGCATGCATGCAGCAACACAAGGCTGTTTGCAGAATGATGTGATAAAACTATATTCACCATCACAGCTTTTTTTATTAACTCTTGTTGTGACATTTTGTAATAGTAAAAAGTAAAGCTGTCCCTGTAACAGGCCGTGGAGGCCCATAGGGTTGTGAGATTCTGAGGTTCCCACATTATCTAGACACTTGGCTCATAGATGGCAGTAAGGTTGTCAGCCTTACGCGCTGGCTGCAGTTTACTCCCCAGGAAAATTATTTAATTAACATGGTAGCGTAGTTAGTTGAGGCACTATGCTACAAGCTGGAAGGTCGTGGTTTCAAGTCCCGATGAGGTAATTGGATTTTTTTCAATTGACCTAGTCCTTCCAGCCGCATTATGGCCCTGGGGTCGACTCAGCCTTTAACAGAAATGAGTACCAGGACATTTTTTAATATAAGTGTAAATTAGTATGCAGCAGTTTGTAGTGGCTTTAGGTTCCTTTTTACATGACAGTCCATGTTTATTGCTTTTTTTGCACGTGAAGTCCATAAATAGACATGATGGGGAAATTGTGTCTGCTATTCACATGTGTCATCTCTGGAACTACATGACAAATTTTAGTGAAATTGTTAACTGCAACTTAACACAAGATGTCAGGTGAATTGGTACATACTGGTCAGTTATAATCTCTACTGTGTGTGAAGTCGATATTGAGCTTTATCAAAATTTCTAAAAAATGACTCACTGTACAAAAATATATTGCAAAATATGTATCTTTTTATGATCTACAGTGTTTAAAAATGCGATTAGCTTTGGTCCAGTAGATTTCTGTTTTCAGGAACAAACATCAGGGCGATTACATGAGTAGTATGCAGAGTAGAAAAGATGACATTTGTCAGATATATTTATAGCATGTTTGTACTGTATTACAGGGCGTGGCATGAAGTCTGGTGACAATTTCAAGTTGCTGTATGATCTGGCAGACAAGTTGAATGCAGCAGTGGGTGCATCCAGAGCAGCTGTAGATGCAGGATTTGTTCCTAATGACTTACAAGTTGGCCAAACAGGGAAGATCGTAGCTCCGGTAAGAATTAAGTTCACAGTGTCTTTCGTAGATATTGGGTGTCATGTTAGTTACCAGTTCTTTTCAGGTCTGAGAGAAATCTGGCTAGGATTCTCTGTACTACTACTGCTGCTGCCACCTCCACTGCTGCTGCTCATGCTGCTACTGCTACTGCCACCACCACTGCTACTGCTGCTGCTGCTGCTGCTACTGCCACCACTGCTGCTGCTGCTACTGCCACCACAACTGCTGCTACTACTGAATTTTTTACTTTCTAATTTTTGGTTTTCCTAATTAGTATTTAACCCTCAAGCAAGCGTGTGCATGTATAGAGCATGCCAGTTTTATTAATCAAAATATGGCAGTGGTGTTACACATTTTTTTATCTGTTTCTTTATTGCTTTCTTGACCATTGTCCATTGTAGGTGTTATCGATAGTGCAGCTGGATCATCACCATATATCATTTTAATATATGTGGCTATTGGTGTACTGAATATACCACACACCTGGTTACTTGAGTGATTTTATTTTATTCAGTTTGGCTCTTTACATTTAGATATATTTGTCACCTTGTAACAGGCACTGAATCTAAGGAAAATGGACATGAGATTTGTGCACGTTGAATGTAAGACGTTTGTGTAGTGCAGGTTTGCTCATGAAAGTAGCAAAAGAAATATCAGAGTATAAGTTGGGTTTAGTGGGAGTACAGGAGGTCAGATGGGACAGAAGTGACACTGAACCAGGAGATGAATATACATTTTTCTATGGAAAGGGGAATGAGAATCATGAATTAGGCACAGGTTTCTTCTTACACAAGAGAATCATGTCAGCAGTTAGGAGGGAGAATTTATTAATGATAGGATGTTGTACGCAATACTAAGAGGTCACTGGTGTGTTATCATTGTACTAAATGTTCATACCTCAACAGGATAAAATTGATGATATGAAGGACAGCTTCTACGAGGAACTAGAGTCTGTATTTGATAAATTTCCTAAACACCATATGAGAATTCTATTAGGAGATTTCAATGCCAGAGTAGGAAGGGAAGACATTTTCAAACCAACAATTGGGAATGAGAGTTTGCATGGAATTAATAATGATAATGGAGTTAGAGTAGTAAACTTTTCTGCATCAAAAAATCTGATTGTCAAAAGTGCAATATTCCTACATCGTAACATTCATAAATTTAGTTGGACAGTACCTGATGGAAAGACTCTAAATCAAATTGCCCATATATTAATATATAGGAGATGGCATTCAAGTGTACTTGATGTCCATCTGTTCAGGGCAGAAGATTGTGATAGTGACCATTATCTTACAGTGGCAAAAGTTTGGGAGAGACTGGCAGTGAGTAAACAAACTATGCACAGAATTCATGTATAGAGGTTCAGTTTGAAGAAATAAAATGAGTTAATTACAGCCAAAGATAATCTAGTTAATTCTGAATTGAAACGTAAGCCATGGTTCGACAAAGGATGATCAGAATTATTAGATAAGAGGAAACATGCGAAGTTGCAGTGGTGAGTCTTTGGATTTCAGAGTTGTGTTCAGTTGTGGTACTGCAGTCATTGTAGACGAAAGTGCCCGTAGTGAAATTTTGTTTTCTTTTTCTACTCTTAGGAATTATATATCGCAATAGGTATTTCTGGAGCCATCCAACATCTTGCAGGGATGAAAGACTCGAAGACAATTGTGGCTATCAACAAGGACCCTGAAGCACCCATCTTCCAAGTTGCGGACTATGGGCTAGTACAAGACTTGTTCAAGGCAGTACCAGAGCTGACGGGCAAGCTTTAGGGGACATCACATGCATACAACATTTCTCTGTCTATGACACAAAATTATAATATTATATGATATTGTTATACATATTATAAAAATGAATAAGATGCACCTTTGTTAAATAACTGAACTCGACCAAATTGTACAGCCTAAATATTTTTGTACAATCTTTTGTTATTGATAATTGTGCTAACTGTTTGTAATAATTGCTTATTGAAAAGAGACTTTATTGATAACCAAATGTAATTACCGTCAGTCCATTAAATACTATGTTTCTACCACAGTCTTCTCCACTCCTTTATATTGTCACATGTATGAATGACTACAGATGGGGTTTGGTTTGGTGACTCGATTTATTGACCACTTATAAACACAACCTGTAACTACACCCTTTATAATATGCATCCTGTTGTGTATTATAATACACAACAGGATGCATATTATAAAGGGTGTAGTTACAGGTTGTGTTTATAAGTGGTCAATAAATCGAGTCACCAAACCAAACCCCATCTGTAGTCATTCATACATGTGACAATATAAAGGAGTGGAGAAGACTGTGGTAGAAACATAGTATTTAATGGACTGACGGTAATTACATTTGGTTATCAATAAAGTCTCTTTTCAATAAGCAATTATTACAAACAGTTAGCACAATTATCANTAACTACAAGTCACCATAATAGACTCACTGGTTTACACACTCTGAAGATCACTGGAACTGCAGCACACATAAATTTGTCTATATCTTCACTAGTCATTTCCTGGTAATGGATTCTAACAATGTCCTCTGCTAATGTCCTTACTGGTTGGTGAATGTCCCACAACTGTCCAACTCTGAAAGTTGAAGTTGAAGTTACTTTATGACTGGCAGTTTACTTCCAGTCAGTTTGCCTTGGCATCAAGCTCCTTAAAACTCACGGCCACAGACTTATCTTTCAACCGAACCCTTGCGAGCATGGTCCCTATGTAACACCTTCTCTGATGAGAAGATGGGTTTGCCTCATATGAATATGCTTGTCGTTTTGTCAAGTGTACATATCAAACATATAGCATGTTATTGAAAATTCTTCCTTTTTCACTATATACAGGTCCTCCTTCAGTACATGCCTATCTAACATATTTTATGCTACAATAGCAGCTTGACCACCAAGTTTAAGCCTCTTATATATTCTGTGTCAGGCTTCGCCTTGTCCTGTGCCACGAACACGTTCAATCGCCTGATTTTCTATGACTTCTGATTGTTGCCTACACAATTTTGTTATATAATTATGTACCAGCGATGTTAGTCAGATAGAAATGCGAATGGCTGAGCTGCTAATACCTGATTCAAGCCCTTTGGAGGTTGAAATTGCTATTGCAAAATTGAAAAGATATAAATCGCCAGGTAGTGATCAAATTCTGGCAGAACTTGTTCAAGCAGGAGGCGAAATATTACGTTCTAAGATCCGTAAGCTAATTACTTCTATTTGGCACAAGGAAAAATATCCTCATCAGTGGAAGGAATCTATTATTGTACCAGTTCACAAGAAGGGTGATAAAACTGACTGTAGTAATTATCAGGAGATATCACTGCTATCAACTTCATACAAAATTTTATCCAATATTCTTATCTCAAGGTTCAGTCCAGCATTGATTAAATTATTGTGGATCATCAGTGTGGGTTTCGACGTAACAGATCAACTACTGATCACATCTTTTGCGTTTGTCAGATATTGGAGAAAAATGCAAGTACAGTGAGAGAGTACATCAGCTATTTGTAGACTTCAAAAAAGCCCACGATTCAGTTAGGAGGGAAGTATTGTACAATATTCTGATAGAGTTTGGGATACCCATGAAACTAGTTAGGTTGATTAAAATGTGTTTAAACTAAATTTATAGTAAAGTCCGTATAGGTAAACATTTGTCTGATAAATTTCCTATTCAGAATGGTCTCCAAAGTTTTTGAAACGCGGGCCACATTAGGTAATTCAACACTTTCAACGGGCTGGATAAAATGAAAAATTAATAACTCTAGGTATATGAGTTTTATTGAAAGCACAGAATTTCATAAACTAAATAGTACGTACGTGAGAATAAATCATCGTATATTAATAACAGACAGTACAGCAAATGCTCATATTTTCATCACAAATTATAATNNNAAAACAATTAATGTGAATGATGGAACTCTTTTTGCATTCTTAAAATTTGATTAAATTGAGGTTCAAATTTTTAAACGCTAATCGCAAGTAGTGACTTTAAATGTTCGTCGGATAAATTTGCCCTGTATTTCGACTTTATGTACTTCATCTGGGAAAAAGTTTGTTCACACATATGTCGTCTAAAAATGGAGATAAATTTACAAGCAAATTTATTTAAATATGGAAATTGCTCAGAGTTCAGAAATTTATAAAATTCGATCAAATTTCCTTCCTTGTATTTGCCTTTAATATGATAATTTTCCTGAAGTTCAATAATTTCCATTTGAATTTGACTTTCGACATCTGCAGCATCACAGTCAAACGGATTTTGAAACAATTTAATTTCCTGAGCACTGGAATCCAAATCAGCAAATCGCCTCCGAAATTGTTCTTTCAAACCTGAAATGACTAAATTTGCAAGCGAGGAAAGAAATTCATCTTCACCCTTTTTATGCAGCTCTGCACAGTATAGCATACAAACAAAGTTACAATTTTTCACTTGCCTTTCCAGAAGTATCAACTTTGCTCTGAATACCTTGATAAGTGCAAATAAATCACAGACCAAGTTATTTTCACCCTGCAACTTTAAATCCAAATTGTTCATATGGTTCACCAGATCAGCAAAAAATGCTAATTTCCAAAGCCACTCGGTATCTGATAAAAGTGGTTGTGAATAATATTAATATTAACATAATATGGAATATCAATATATTTTAAACAGTCTTAATTAATGAATTTTAAATCTATGAACAAGTATTTTCTTTTACCAGTACTCTTTGGAAAATTAGTTCAATTGGCGCATTTCTGCACAATTCTTTCACGGGCCGGATAAAATCACATCGCGGGCCGTAGTTTGGAGACCCTTGCCTTAGAGTAAAGACCAAGTTTCACACTTACATTGTGTTTTAATAGGGTATGTTACTTCGAAACAACAAGATTCAGAGCATAAGCTATGAAACTCTTTTTAAAACTTGTTCGTAAACGCAGGGATACGTTTTTGTTCCTGTAGGTCTGTATGGTAAAGATAAGTGTTTGAATGTGGGGTATGGTGGCGTGGTGGAACTCTCTTGTGACCTTGTAAAGATGTAAGTCCCCGGAAGGCTCAGAACAAGGTCATCAACGTAATAACGGAAGCTGATTGCAGTCTGTCGGAACCTTGGACACACCCTTGCTATCGGCTGTGTAGACTGACTACGGCAATATCAAGCGGAGCTCCAGTGAGTTCTAAAATGTGTCCTGACTGAAACCTGATTTCATTAGAAGTCAGTTATATAACTGTAAAGAATTTACCGCCACTGACATCCGCCGTGCGCTGATCACGGTAGCCGCGCGGTCTAAGGCATGCATCGTCTTCGCTCGCTCGGAAGATGGGATCGTGGGTTAGTACCCCACTCAAGGCACGAATGTCTATGTGCGTTTATTCTGTGTTTGTGTTGTCTTGATTGTAGGTAGCGGCCTTGAGACGAGCTGATCCCCCGTCCAAGGAGTCCTACTTACTGTGTAAAAAGATCAAGAAAATGAAAAGCTGCTGAAGTCCAACAAAGAGCTACAGAACCAAGCGGGCTAAGACAAAGTGTCTAGGCATGGGTCAGAGGCCTATGTCAAGAGCCTTTCGTAGGCAGAGGCCTTGTGATTGGCTGCCTCACGTCCAGCATACAGCATACGTAAAAGATGAACTATTTTAGATTTGTATTTCCGGACCAGAGATAAGGACTAGCTCTATTGATTGGACCCAAGTTAGTAGGTTTTACCTGAAGACGGAGACAGAAGCCAGTCTTCGAAACGCTGTGTTTTGAAAAATAAACAGGACGGTGTTTTTAGATAAAGGTAGGACGATGAATAATATCGAAAAACATAGTATTTGTATATATTGAATATTTCAAAATTGGTCGTACTACAAATCCATGCATACAACGTAATTACCTGGGCTTCTGGCAGTGTACAAATTCATCCTCTAGTCAGGACGCTCCAAGACCCTCCAAGACGAATGAGGAATAACTGTCGAGGCTTATTGGCTAAATCCTGGTCATGAATCCTAAGAGGGGGCTCGACACCAAGCCGGACTGACCGACTGTCAGTCATAGCGTCATACTGTGACCCCAAAGAGTTACTGTAGTTGAAAAAAGACAAGGACATGATACATTAATAAAGAAACCGTTAGACCTGTGTGTCTGACACTGGACTAAACTCGATATTAGTTCTAGCAGCCGTTGCCTGAAAATTCCAATATTTCCTAGCGAACCAAAATAAATGGCAGCTTCCGAATAATCAGGCGAGCTGCTTGTCCCGCCTACTTTGTTATACCGGATTCTTTTCTCCTGAATGACCAGTACCATTTGACAATCCTACGTTTTATTGGCCGAGAGGTTCAGACACCACTGTCGAGGTCTTCGGAAGGCCACGGCCAGATCTGAAGCGGACGTGTGTTTGCCGGGCGTGGTCCAACTCCGTAATGTTCCCCATACCCGGCACCTCAAGAATGTATAAAAGCTTGTTCGATGTTCAGTATATTGCAGTGTTTCCCTAGTTGAACTAGACATACACAAATTCATCATGAAGGTAGGTTTTCAGTTCCGATTTATGTCTCTAAAAATTTGTTCATACAAACCTCTCTTTTCTGAGAATAACTTTCTTTCCGTTTTGTGCATGTGTGTTTTAATGTGCGCTTTCCTTACCCATACATAATCATACGGAATTTGCGTGACATTCACCAATCGTTAATGAATTCTGTCTCTGTTCAAATCTTCTTCAGTTTTCTTCTCTTCTCTATATAAGACGACTGAAATTAATATTCACAGTTTCACAACTTCGGATAACTCAGACTGGTTACAGGCTGGATGGCCTACGTTCGATTCCTAGCTGGAGCGGCGAAGTTTCTTCTCGCCACAACTTCCAAACCGACTCTGGGTTCAACTCGTGTCTCCTAGAATACCTGTGACTCTTTCATCATTGTAAGACGGTCAGAGCAGAAGCTGACGACCTCCAGTTACCTCCACTCCCTCTATACATCTTTAGGGCCCGTTGCTTGAGCCTATGAGCAATTTTATTCGATTACAGTTACCGTGACGAACCACACAGTTCAGTCAGTGTAATGGTTATACTATGGATTGAAGGACCCTGGGGAACCTGGTTTCGATTCCCAGCGGGGGTGGGGGTTTCTTTACGTAACCGCTTTCCGACCGGCTCTGGAACTTATAGCTTCCAATCGAATGAGTACCAGGGGTTCTTTACCCGCGGATGAAATGGCCAGGTGGGTGAAGCTATATAGTGTCGAAGGTTGAGGAAATCCGAAGCGAAAAATCCACAAGAAACCCAAGTTTCATAGTGGGATATAGGGTCAGACCTATAGAATCCTTTTATAATTATAGCAATTATGTCATTAATAGCTTTATATAACTGGTTCAGTGTTTAGCGCGCCAGATTAGTATTTTCTATGCTGAACCCAACTGAATTATTCATTTGGCTTAAAGATATTTTTAAGAATAAACAGAAAAACATTTTCTAAGCAGAATTGTGCAGTTGAAGTCAATAATGAGAATTATGCCAGTTAGTGTTGTTAATTTGGCTTTTGTCATTTATTAATACGGATTTATAAAACGTCTACAGCAAAGAGGCTGAGGACCCAAACTGGACCCATTGCCAAAAATAAGTATAATTTATTTATTTTATGAGACTTCCATGTATTCTAACATTTCAAAAGAACTTAAAACAATTTTCTTATGGTTCCGTGCAGTTTTTCTCCCACAAATGTCCCACGATGAGCTGGAATAACTCCGCCAGTAGAGTTATGGGATGTACCGGTGTTTGGTTCCCAGTAAAACAGCGATTTTCCTTTTGCAAGCACATTCAGACCGGAAGTGAAGCTCACCCAGCCCATTTTTCAATGTATACCGGAGTATAATGACGAAGCACTAACCTCATCACTCTCATTCACCTGCACCTCTTAAGAATTCGTGGAGTTTTACCTCCATCGCATTATGATTTAGTACAGGAACAGATTCACCTACTTTATCTTTACTCATTTTCATTTAACATGCAGGTGTTGCTGTGCTTGGCTGCCGTCCTGTGTGCCGCGAACGCTGGCATCGTGGCTGGACCCACTGCTTTGGTCCGCGCTCCTAGCTTTGATAGCGCCATCATCAAGTCCGACCGCCTGGGAGGAAACTTCGCCTACAGCACAGCGGAGAGTCACGCTTACGCCGCTGTTAGCCCTGTGGTGCAGAACGTAGTGAGCCCTGTTGGCGTCACTTACTCTGCCAGCCACATTGCCGCCCCCTTGGCCGCTCCCTTGGCCGCTCCCTTGGCCGCTCCCTTGGCTGCTCCCTTGGCCGCCCCTGCTGTCGCATACGGCGCTCCTTATTTGTATGGTTAAATATCACGGATACAACATCTCAGCATCATAATTATTATACATTGCATTTCCTTTTTGCATGAATGGACGACAATCGCTACTGTGCAATGTTTCTTCTGTTGTAAAGGTACAAAACACTTTGCGCACATCCACACACCAATTTATGGGAATGGTGAGAATATTTAATTGTTATTGTCCCTGGGTAAAATGTAATTTATAAATAAATAAAATTTTCACATTTAAACCAATGATCTGAGCAAGCAAGCCTTCTTCTTTACTTGTTTCCAGCAGTTGTTACCTTCACCGCTTTCCTTTCCTCATTGATTTGATAATTCTAATAATGTTCACTGGACAAGTAAAAATTATAATTCTCCTCCTTGTAGAATTTCCTCCACCCTCCTGTCATTCCTTCGCGTTATGATCCAGATATTCACTGTTGCTTCTATCGGTTGAGAAACCAAAGTGTCAAGCCCATTTAAAAATAAGGATGTCATTTATAAAAATACAATTTCATCTCCCAAAAATAATCTGATTGGGACGATGTCCATAAAAGTAGACGCTAGATTAATGTAACATCGTAACATACTTTCAAATCTGTACTTCATAATCCTGACATTTTCCAGCAAGTAATCCATACTCCCCATGTGTAAGATATTGTCACGTTTATGAGTGACTATAGACGGGGTTTTAAATGTTAATTGGATTTATTGACCACTCACATATCGTAACTCCAGGTAACTATAACGCTGTCGTTAATTCGCACTCTGTAGGTCACTACAACAGGCACGCCGTGTCTTCAACAGTGGGCGTTCACGTTACTCTGGGTTCCCGAACTATCCCCGTGCCTCAGCTACCAGCATTTAACAGCAACAGCTCACAAGGACTGAACTGCAGCTGTCCTCTATTTAACTTACTCACTCACCATCTCACTTTACTCCACTGTGCTCAGCCTCATTGCCCCCACTAACTGAACTGAATTTGGTCGGTCGAGGCAAATAGACTCGGAGCGGACCACATAGAAAACATAGGTCCATTGTTGCGCGTGGGCCGCTGCCTAGCAATGGCTGTTGTCTCGGATGTTGTCTAGCAACACGTCTAATCGTATATGCGACGATATTTAGACATGTTTTATGCCACTTATGATATGACAACGAACGTTAATTTCCTCGTTAAATAAATGTTTATCCATACTACTGGGGATTTATCCGCATTCAGAACATCTCCGAGGTTCACCAGCCTCCAGATCAGTGGGTACCGAGGGCTCTTCCCCCGGGGTGAAGTGTCAATTGCGGGAATCTGACAACTCAGCTATGCCTTCGACGTTTGAAGTGCGTGATCTTTGTCTCTGCGCTCTCTGTACATTGTCAAGGCGTGGTGCTTGCTAACAGGGGGAACTTTGCCTTCAGTCCTTGAGGTTGCGGATTTATATCTCAGCACGGACCGATACTTGGATCGGGCACTGAAATGCAGAATTATACACAATTTTCTGTGTTGTTATATTAATAATATTGTATATAATTAATGACGTATAGATTAACAGTGCTGGTGCGACTGCTGTCTTATTAGCTGTAGAACGTGTCAGAATATTTTATTAAAAATTCCCAATATCAGAACTGTATGAAAGGTCATTTAGCTACTATTGATTTGTTTCATGAGGACAGACAGGCATCATGAAGCTAACAGGTACTACTTCTTCGTTTAGAGGCATCATCCAGTATTATTTGAATAGGTAATATAAGTAAGGTAAACTGTCCCTATGCCGGTCACGGTAGCCGAGCGGTCTAAGGCATGCACTGTCTTCGCTCGCTCGGAAGCCGGGATCGTGGGTTCGAATCCAACTCAGGGTATGGATGTTTGTGTGCGTTTTTCTGTGTTTTTGTACAGGTAGATGCCTTGCGACGAGCTGATCACCCGCCCAAGGAGTCCTACCGTATGTCTAAGATCTAGAAAAACCGAAGTGAACGGAGAAGTTCATGGAGGTAGGCCTAGGCCCACTGGGGCTGTAGTGCCAAGGAAAAAAATTGTTCCTGTTCTTAACTAATTAAGCACTACGTTATGAAGGCGTATTGGAGAATGGATGTATAGATCCACATTTTCTTGATCTCAGCACTAGCTGGAGGTGAGTGGTCAGTTTCACTCCCCGGTCGCTTTACCCCTGGGCGATTGGGTGGGCCCCAGTGCCGGTCTGGACGGCGTGAAGAAGAGAAAATTCTTGACCCTACCAGGACTCGAACTTCGACCCCTCGGTCGTCCAGCCCGTAACCAGTCGCTATGCCGACTGCGCTATCCCGGCTCCTGTTGTTTGGATAGGTAATGCATACGCGTATATCCATTGAGTTGCATATTTAGTTCAGATGGACGAAGTAAGTGACGCACACTGCTGCATTTTTATATCAAGTCGTATCCTTTAGGACATGCCATTTCCAATTAAACCTAGAATAATTTACATCTTATTTTCTCATATATTAGCGCTGTCCGAATATCCACAATACGAAGGTGCAGACAGAAGAAAATTTAAATGAAAGTGAATTGTTACATATTTATTAACAACCAAACTTTTTAGTACACAAACATCGCAGAAACTTTCCAAAATTTCTTATTTTTGAGTTTATGCTCTTCTTCAGCACCCATCAGAAACGACTGAATAGTTGCAATATTGGTCTCGTGGTGGCTGCATTTGAATTATCTCTTACAAAATGCGACGAAAGAGTTTATGTATTGTGTCAGCCTTTGTTTCATAATCTAAGCTTTTCATGTGGACCTCAAAAGAGTAGGTGGCTGGGTTGAAGTCTTGGTGTCCATGATCATGTCCGCTGCGACCTGTCCAATGATTTGCAAAACTCTCGTATAGGTGTGTGATGCGGGGAGCGCCATCTTGTTGAAAGTACATCACACACCTTGTAATTAACGTGATAGCTTCTAACAGACCTGGCAGTTAATTTCTTACACAAAAATAGTTTTTATCGAGGTGTGCCATAGCTCAAGTAGTTAGTCGCCGGCTTCCTATCTCAGTGGCCAGTGTCCAATCCCAGGTCAAGTAATGTGAGGCACTGGGGAAGTTTTTCTTTGTACTTCTGTTTCCATTGCCGATTTTTATTACGCCGGCAGCCCCATTCTGATCTATTTTCCGGGGCTGGTACAATAGGTCCAGTAGTGGCAGGTGTACGAAGTGTACACCTCATGAAAAAATAAATTTCATCACATGTGGATGTGCAAATGACCAGGTAGGACATAGGCATTTTGCATATTATTTACACCGTTCTGTACAAAGGGAGCTTCATCTAAAAAAAAGTGACTCATCATTTGTGGGTATTCCTCTGAGCTAATGCAGCAGGGTCTCCAGGTGGCCGTGTCATAGCTCAGGCTGTTTGTCACCGGCTTCCCACAGCGGCGGCCCGGGTTCGAGCCCAGGTCAGGTCATGTGGGATTTATGGTGGACTAAGTGTCACTGGGGCAGGTTTTCTCCCAGTACTTCGGTTTCCAACTGACAATTCTCATTCCCCTGACTGCTCCACTCTCATGCTCTCTCATGTCCAGGGCAAGTACAATAGGCCAGTTAGTGGCAGACGTACAAAGTCACACCCTACCCAAAGTAACTAGAAAAAAAGGGTCTGCAGTTTAAATGTGTTGAACCCTTGTGTCAGGATCAGCTTCATTTATTGATCGCCACGCTACCTATGCGGAACACTATTGCGACTGGCTTAATCGTGGATTGCGCTGTACCATCTGCAAAATGTTTTGTCGTACATTCCCATCTGCCAACACGCCCTTCCATTCGGGACGGCTCGTGTAAAATACTTCTAAGTGAGACAGTTTCACCCAGCGTTCGATGAGCATTAACAAATTCTTCTTAACTTGGAGTCATTCCACTGAGAATACGTTTTTGGTTATCTTCAACACCAGGGCATGCACTACCGTTGCAAAATCCCTAAATGGAATTCATGTCACCATATTCAGGTTGTGAAAAAGTGAAAGGCATTTTTACGGCAGCTCCCTGCATTGATGCTGATAGTGAATTACTGAACGAACATAACAGTGTCTTAAGTACTGTCACAGTACGGCTAGCTGCAAGCACTGACCTCCACATCACGGTGCGCAAACGCGTTCTAAACCAGTGTTTCTCAATCGGAGAGCGCCGGGCCTGTACCGGACCTTGTCATCAAATATACCGGGCCCTCGTCTTATAGAAAAAATAATTTACCGGGCCGCGGCCTGAGAAAGGTTGAGAACCACTGTTCTAAACCACGTCACTGGGCTGCTACTCATGCTTTCAAAGTAACGCAACAACTAATTTCTTTTAAAAAGAATTCTGTCTACATCTAAGTGAGAGTTTCATTTTGGGCGTCGGTATGTTGAAGTATTTTAGCCCATTCTGTCCCAAGGAACATCCCCTAGAACTCTGGCACGAACCCCTCACTCACTCACTCATGAAGCTAAGCCCTTCTTGAGAAACTACCAATTGTGCAGCTATTCAAGAGCTTCCCAACATTTTATGGAACCCGAAGGTTCATTACCGTGTTCACAAGAGCCCTCCACTGGTCCATATCCTGAGACAGATTGATTCAGTCCATACCATCCACTGTCTCACTAAGATCCATTTTAATATTGTTCACCCACCTACGTCTTGGTGTTCCTAGTGGTCTGGCAGGAACCCTTCAGTATAAACCTCTATTCTACAGCAAGTTATTGCTCACAAAGAGCATATTCGTTCTAGAAACCTTATTTCACCATTAGTGAACTATATCACTCTACAATTCGGTCAGGAAACTCACTACCATAACGGGTTACGATAATGCATCATGTAAGTCTATTTAAAAGATAGGAAAAGAAGACGTGTTACACAGATTTTGGGATGCTAAAGCGGATTGAATTGTCTCACAGATAGTGAGACAATTCAATCCGCTGAGATGCTGCATTTCCTTACCACATATTTTATATATATATATTATTTATTATACTGCAATTGGGTTTTAGCCCGGTGGCAGTAGTACACAATAGGACACAACAGACAAGTAACACACATTACACTAAGTGACAACACGTTTAAACAAAACACAATACACAAAACACAACAATAAGGACATCCTACCACAATGAATACAAATCAAATACGATTAACAACTACAACAATTACAAGAAATACAAACAGCTGCAACAAATACAGCAACAATTACAGAGAGAGAGAAGAAAAAAATACAACATCCAAAACACAAACAAAAGGAAACCAACAGTCATGGATGCGTAATGTCATTTACTTCACTTCACTTCACT